CCATTAACCGATTTACTACGCGGTAATCCACGCAAATTAGAACTGAACGATACCGCACGTACTGCATTCTCAGAGATCAAAACGGCTCTCGCCGAAGTTACACTCCTCGCTCATCCTGACCCATCAGCCACGCTTAGTATAGCGGTTGATGCATCAGATTTCGCTATAGGAGCCGTTATGCAACAGAATATCTCCGGTAGTTGGCAACCCCTTGAATTTTTCTCACGACGCCTTACTCCCACGGAGACGAGATATAGCGCTTTTGGTCGCGAACTGCTTGCAGCCTACTGCGCCATCAAACATTTCCGGCACGCAGTAGAAGGACGTCAATTCACCTTATTCACCGACCATAAGCCCTTAACGTATGCCCTGCATACCAAGTCTGACCGCTACTCACCACGAGAGTGCAGACATTTGGACTATATCTCACAGTTCACGACAGACCTTTGTCACATTAAAGGCGAGTCGAACTATGTTGCCGATGATCTTTCACGTATCCAGACGAATGCAGTTACTTTACCGGTGCTCGATCTTCCTGCTATGGCCGCCGCGCAAGCAAACGATCCTGTCTGTACAGAAGCACCACAATCTTCGTCCCTTCAGTGTCAGGAAGTACCCCTAGCTACTAGCTCAGGTACTATCCTATGTGATATTTCTACCGGTCTTCCTCGACCCATCGTACCCTCTACCTATCGCCGTCTCGTCTTCGATGCCCTTCATGGATTGTCTCATCCAGGTATCGCAGCCACATTACGTCTCATCGCTGCACGATACGTCTGGCCGTCCATGAATAAAGATGTTCGTATGTGGGTAAAGCAATGCCTACAGTGTCAACGATCAAAAGTGCACAGGCACGTAGCTGCCCCCATTGGCACGTTCGCTACGCCTGATGCTCGCTTTGATCACGTTCATATAGACATTGTAGGACCATTGCCACCATCGCATGGGTATGATCACATACTCACGTGCATCGACCATTTTACAAGATGGCGCGAAGCTATTCCCATCACGTCTATCACGGCGGAGACAATTGCTCACCGCTTCGTAGAACGATGGATAGCATTGTACGGTTGTCCCTCGACTGTCACGACCGACCGAGGACAACAATTTGAGTCCGCATTATTCTCCTCACTGACCAGGCTGCTTGGTACGGAACGCATACGCACTACCGCCTACCATCCAGCATCGAATGGTTTAGTCGAACGGTTTCATCACCAACTTAAAAGTGCTCTTCGAGCACACGAAAACGACAATTGGTACGAAACCTTACCGCTCGTTCTCTTAGGCATCAGAACGAGTTTGAAGGCAGATATCCAATGTTCCGCCGCTGAACTTGTATACGGCACGACATTGCGTCTGCCTGGGGAATTCTTCACACCACGGAGCAGTAATGATTTCGGTAAATCAGACTACGTCCATCGACTGCCTGCATTTATGCGAACGCTGTCTCCGGTGTCAACTCGAATACAACATCGACAGGTCGCTCTCCCTCGAGAGTTATCTACCTGTTCACATGTTTTCATACGAGTAGATTCGGTACGCAAACCTTTGCAACAGCCTTACGAAGGCCCTTTTCACGTGATCTCTCGTCACGAAAAGACCTTCAAGGTTGATCGACACGGCCGCGTCGAGATCGTCAGCATTGATCGTCTCAAACCAGCACACGTCGATGACAGTGCCCTACCCGATAACTTGAGACTCAATGCTAGACCTATCAAACCTACTAGCGGGATCTCTACATCTACCTCGGATCCCACGCTAGATACATCAGAGACCTCGTTCTCACGTCCCGGTCAACAGCACGCGTCATCTGCACCATCTACGGACGAGACTTCCGTCTCACGTCCAGATCGGCAGACCACGCCGCCCTTGACCTCGGATGAGATCACAGGCTCACGAAGTACGAACGAGACTACCGTCTCACGTTCCGGTCGCCGAGTACGATTACCCGTACGCTATCGCGACTAAACACAGTCAATAACGGATACGGTGTAGGATTATTCCTATACTACACGCATGCTACACTTCTCTTTTTTTTGATTTTTTTTTGTATCCTGAGCCCACGCCTCCGACCATCGTCCATTTGATAACGTCGACTTCAGTCAACTTTGGCAAAAGCTGGTTTGGCCACCCACGCTCTAGTCAACGCACTCAGTCGATTATCTGGTCTCGAATTCGCCTGGCATATGCTTGGTAGTTATGGTCGCGTCCGGTTTCTTGGCTCAACGTGGTTTCGTCCTACGTCTGCAGCGTTTTCTGGTTCACATCCCCACGAACGCAATCATCAGATTCTGGATACAAACCACTCTGGTGTGGTATGCTAATTCGACCAACAAATACAGCACACTTCTCCTGGTACCGTTCTGCGCAAAAGACTTTCGTTGGCAACTCGAGGATCAATGATCACTTCCTGTTCCGCCAATTTCCTCCGTCCTACAACCGCAATTCTGCCGATCAGTCCCACGAATCAAACCGCTAACTATCGAAAGTGTAAACCCTTTCTAGCGGGGGGCTCCTGTAGTGACCTACTTTTGTCAACAGAACACGATTGGTTCGATGAAAACAATTATTATTATAACCAATTGTACCAGTGACTGTTTTACTGTGCTCGTTTGTTTAACTGTGCTAATAACAGCCATTTTTAGTCTTCCATTGTATTCCATTGCTTTTACGCGGTTTTTGGACTACGCACGTATCTTATCTTGCCGATCGCAACTGTACTCCTTTGGCACGATCTCGGTATTCTTTCGATACCACGAGATCGCCAACAAATATATACGACTACTACAATCATCTGCCTTCTGATATTTTGGCCTACCGGGATTTTATTGGTCTATTGGCAAGTAGTCTGGTAGCGGTGTTCTTAGTCAAGCTCAACTCGACACCACGCTACAAATGTTTGATTTCGAATTCTAAATACAGTACATTCGTTAGTGCTTGTGTAGTACTTCTTGATTCAATTGCGTTATCCCTGGGATTCTTAGTTCATACTATAATTCAAGTACTTCTAATTATCATACAAACACAACTTCACTGTCGATGATCCGGCAGCAAATATCAGTAAAATCAAGTAACACAGGTTAAATCTCTAATCAGGTTCAAAAATAAAAGCCCATGTATAGAAGACTGAAGAACATGAATCGCGGTTAAAAAATACATAAATAGAAGTCGGAATACAGGAAAGGGGGAAGAAACAAATAAAGGATAATACTGTCCAACAAAATGCTTCGTGGGGATTTTCGGCATTCTCTTTCATTCACAGTACCTAAACAACCGTTTTTGCTATAGGCATGCATATGGTGGGATTGGATGGTAAAAGGCATTATTATTAATCTTTCGAAAAATTAAAATAAACAAAATATAACACAGGATAGTAGTTTATTCGACGAAAAATACACGTGCTAATCAAGTGTACACAACATTGATCATTTTGAAGTTAGTAGTGGTGTTAAGCTGGGAATAAATAATAGTGACTGTGATAATAACACGCGGCGTATGAAAAGAAAGACTGCGTTAAAGATGCCACAGATATCCAGGGTTTGATAACGCTTTTGTAATTGAAGCATACTGAAGGTGCCACGGGTATTTGGAGCTCGACAACGTTTTTACCAGTAACACCATATAAAAGGAATCGTACCCACCAAGTGAAATCAAAAGACAGAAGCGAGGAGGTTTGAAGATATATTTGATAAGCTATCAATATGTCTAGGATCGTCTGATCTAATTTGGCTAGCGATTGCAGAAGATGTTGAGCATGGCGTTCCCACACGTGATCTGGTTCGAATGCGTAACCAAAGACATTCAGCTAGGTGATTCCATAAAAACTAATGAGGTCAGCATCCATTTTCGAAAACTTACAGAACGATTTATTTTTGGGATTTATTTACCGCTACAATACCAATTCAATCAACTCAAAAATCACGGACGAATTAGATGTCCATAAATATTGCGAAGTGTTTGACCTAATCTGGTTAGTAAATGCAAGGTGTGTGTTGTACGGCATACCCGCTCGTGATCTAGTGTGAATGCTTGACCGTGCATCTTAAGCTAAAAGCTGTCCATTAAGTCTAACACGGTCAGCAACAATGTTGAAAGCTAACAGAACAATTCATTTTGGGATTTAGTTGTTGCTACATGGCCTTCGTCCCATGTACGTTGATCAACAATTAATTTTATACGTGTTAATATTTCTGTTCCCAGACGTCATCAGAATTCGGCTTAGTCAAAACGTTTGTCTCAACATCGTTAATATTTAAGATAACTTGGTTTAAACAAAGGCCTTTTCGTTTCCTTCCCTTGGTGTCAGAAGTATCGTTTCCAAAAATATTAGGAGAAAAGTACACATTCACCTCGAACAAACCTCGACGAACAGTGAATGTTTATCTCTCACGCCGTTGCTATGGAAGCGAAACTCTGCTTAGCAGCACTAGGCTTCTACATTATTGAGCTGAAATGATATTAGCCGGAAAAAAGGTATACATAGGAGTCTTAATCCCAATAACATTCGGAGTGTGTTGAGACATTATGGAAGTTATATAAATCTAAAAAAGAATTAATCACACTGAAGATAATATAAAAATGTAAAGAACGTATCTGCATTGGCTTTAGAGCAAGTAGCAGATTTACATGATATCCTGTAATGTACAGAATTGCATTCAGCACACCAATGAACAGATTGATACATGTAAAAACTTTCCAACACTGGTGTTCGAGTTTTTTTCAATGAAAATCTTCTACTATGAAGATCACTCAAAAGAAAGCGCTTTTCCTTGTTAAGAGAGTTAATATAATATAAGAGTGAAAATCTGTCTAGTAATAGCCTGTGACTAGTCTGTTGCAAACTGATACATGGCCGGATCAGGATTCTTGATCTGTCACACTAAGTTTGTTGTTTGTCTTGCAAATTAAGCATATTTATAACTAATATTGAAAGGTTACAAGTCATTCATTGAGAGAGATTTTTTCCTCTAGAGTTTGAAGATTGAAAGTATGTAGGTTACACTTCCGAATTTCGCACTACACGTGTGGTTTGATCATATGTAGTTTTGAAGGTGAGTGGGTCCTATACTATACAACTTCGACGGATTTCTCGAGGACTTTGTTTCAATTAATTTTATTTCGCATATATTACACAGATTTACTGTAGGGTTTCTCTATATAATTGAATTCCACTACGTAGTTGGGTAAAATGTTTGTGGACTGAATAGAAGAAGCTTTCGCTTAACAGGCTTCCGTGTCTAGTAGCAGAGGATCACCAACACCTCCAGGCAAGAACCTAGGTATATTAACGATAAAAGAGTACAAAAACGAATTGGTATATCATAGTTAGATACTGAAACTGAAACTTGAGAATAGATCAAGTCGCCTCTTAAATGACTCCTGGGAAGTTGCTTGGACTAGCTCAGCTGGCAGCGAATTCCAGCATTTGACAACTCTTAAGGAGTAGAAGTTGTGTCTGCAGTCCGTTCTACTATGTTGTATCTCTAATTTCTGGGTGTTACTCCTTAGGTTAGTGTTGGGACTAAGCTTAAGTAGGTGTTTAAGAGGATGTCCAGGAGTGTTAAGGATACTGTAAGCCATTAGAAGGTCACCTCCAAGACGCCTATACTCTAATGGGTAAAGGTCGAGTGATTGGAGGCGCTCATCGTAAGGTTTAAATTTGAGTCCCCGAACTGATTTCATGGCTCGCCGTTGGATACGCTCCAGAGTGTCCTTATACTTTTGGAGTGTAGGAGGGAATACTATGTTTCCGTACTCTAAATGGAGACGAATGAAACTATTGAAGATTATGTGGAAAGTTCTCCCGTCAAAATGATCAAAAATGCGCTTCATTGTTACCAGTGCCAGGTTTGCTCGAAAGGCATTTCTGTCACAGTTGGCGTAAGGCTTTAAGTCGTAGGGCACCAGAACTCCTAAGACTTCTTCGACTCGGGATACTACTAGAGAGGAGTTTCCTAAGTTTTAACTGTAATCTGCAACATGTCGCAGATGGACTATTTCACACTTTGAAGTGTTAAAGGTAAGTCCGTTATCGTCTGCCCAACTTTGAAGTCGAGTCAGATCCTCTTGAAGTGCCTGTATGTCCTCTTGGTTGCGTATCTCCCTCCAAAGTTTCACGTCCTCGGCAAAGAGCAATATGTCTGACGTTATCTGTCGAGGAAGATCATTTATATAAATCAGGAAGAGAAGAGGTCCTAGTACTGAACCCTGGGGGACCCCACTAGGACATTCCATAGCGTGTGAGAAATTGAAGTTTACCCTGACCTTAAAATGTCGATTTGTGAGATATGAACTGAGCCAGTCAATTAAAGGTGGTTTGATACACAATTGTTTGAGCTTGTTAATAAGACATGTGATTAACCCTATCAAAAGCTTTAGAGAAATCAAGGTAAATGATGTCTACCTTCCCCTTGCGATCAACGATGCTTGACCATCGCGGTCAGAAGGTTCGTCATACAGGAGTAACCCTTCCTGAAACCATGCTGTTGGGGTGAGAAGAAATTTAAGGACAGCAGATAGTCGTGTATACCATCGTATACCAGGGACTCCATGATCTTTGAAGGTATAGAGAGAAGAGCCACCGGTCGGTAACTTGAAGGTTCGCTGTGTCGACCTCCTTTGAAGATTGGTGTGATATGAGCCAGCATGTACATACGTACCTACTCCCTGGGATGTCTCTGTTTCGCAATGACAGAAAAACAGGAATTGGGGGTGGAGTAGCCCTTTACATACGATCTTGCTTGGAGGTACACCAAGTTCACAACCATTAGTTTGACAATCTTGAGGAATCTATATGGTGCTCTGTGAGATTGTCCACTACTTCGAGGTGCCCAGTCGGAGTCATACATAGGAAGCCCACTGCCGAAGGTATAGAGAGAATAGCCACCGGTCGGTAACTTGAAGGTTCGCTGTGTCGACCTCCTTTGAAGATTATTATTTTATTTATTTATTTTAACACATAAGTATAGGTACAGGGAGGCACCAAAATACATATGCGCCACACAAATCTCAATTGATTTGTGTGAGGGCTGTGATACTGCCCGGGTGCCCAAACCGAAGCAGGTGGTTGTCTTAGGGGGCCACACCCCGAGCCTTTGACCTGAACGTCTGACCCACAAGGCAGTGGAGCATCGTGAGGAGATGCAGTCCCATGGTAGCCGGTGACCAACGATTGGTTCATACGCCATTTGTTCCTTTAGGATACTGGAGCCCATGTGCACCATTGGTTTGGGGTCCGGTTAAAGCGCCAGACATTCGCTTTTCGTCCTCTCATTTTTGTAAACAACACCCCCGCCACGAGAAGGCAGTGAGTAGGACTTCCCTGGCAGGGGCTATGTACGCATGGCCATGTGAGAGCATTTCGAGAGGGAGAGCGGACTCTCCCCACTCTCGGCCGTACCAGGGCATTTGGGGGCTTACCAGGGCATTTGGGGGCCTTTGAAGATTGGTGTGATATGAGCCAGCTTTCAAATATCCGGTAGTTTGCCCCGACTTAGCGAGTGTGAAAACATCACGCTAAGCGGTGTTGCCAGGATTGAAGCTGCTTCCCTCAGTATAGCAGAGTGGACCATATCTGGCTTGACGAAGAGATGCTGCGTAACGGAATAAGCTTTTCGGATTGGAAGTAAATTTATCCATAAGCTTTAACTGGTACTGAAGCCTGTCTTCACTTATGGCCTTTGTACATATGTTCCTTATATGTTTGTATTGCCTGTACTCGCCGTTGTTGTCGGTTCGTTTGTATTCTGCCCAACAGTGCTTTTTACGACTTGGCAAACGAAGAGTGCGGTTTTTGATGATTGTAGGTTGCATGTGGCTTTTGGGGGTCGTTTGAGGAACTGACTGCTTTGTAGCACATAAGAGCGTGTGTAATAAGAAGTTACAATGAGCATCCACATCAAGTTGAGGGTGAACAACTCAATGCACGTGTTGTAGATAGTCTTGTAGAGCTGACACATTCAACCGTTTGGAATTCCAGCGCCTGTTGTTTTCGGGATATTCTAGCTCAGTTTTGCTGACAAAAATGAAATATATAAAGGCGTGATCGCTTTTCCCCAGGGGAGCCAGAATTGAGAGGTTGTCGACTAAAAATTCTTCCTTTGTAAAAACACAGTCTAAGAGCGACGGTGTCTGACTGTTCCTCAAACGAGTAGCCAACCTCAAATTTTCGTGTAATCCCAAATCCTCAATGAGGTTGAAGAACCGAGCTTCAATTGAATTTTCACCTCCAGTATACGTATGTTCCGCGAAGTTGACTCTAGGTACATTGAAGTCCCCTAGAATCAGGATATGAGTGAAATCGAGACGTGTGGAGCGGGATAGTCCTTCCAGCATGCGACTGTCATACTCGATGTCGGCAGTGGGCTTCCTATATATGACTCCGACTGGGCACCTCGAAGTAGTGGACAATCTCACAGAGCACCATATAGATTCCTCAAGATTGTCAAACTAATGGTTGTGAACTTGGTGTACCTCCAAGCAAGATCGTATGTAAAGGGCTACTCCACCCCCAATTCCTGTTTTTCTGTCATTGCGAAACAGAGACATCCCAGGGAGTAGGTACGTATGTACATGCTGGCTCATATCACACCAATCTTCAAAGGAGGTCGACACAGCGAACCTTCAAGTTACCGACCGGTGGCTCTTCTCTCTATACCTTCAAAGATCATGGAGTCCCTGGTATACGATGGTATACACGACTATCTGCTGTCCTTAAATTTCTTCTCACCCCAACAGCATGGTTTCAGGAAGGGTTACTCCTGTATGACGAACCTTCTGACCGCGATGGTCAAGCATCGTTGATCGCAAGGGGAAGGTAGACATCATTTACCTTGATTTCTCTAAAGCTTTTGATAGGGTTAATCACATGTCTTATTAACAAGCTCAAACAATTGGGTATCAAACCACCTTTAATTGACTGGCTCAGTTCATATCTCACAAATCGACATTTTAAGGTCAGGGTAAACTTCAATTTCTCACACGCTATGGAATGTCCTAGTGGGGTCCCCCAGGGTTCAGTACTAGGACCTCTTCTCTTCCTGATTTATATAAATGATCTTCCTCGACAGATAACGTCAGACATATTGCTCTTTGCCGAGGACGTGAAACTTTGGAGGGAGATACGCAACCAAGAGGACATACAGGCACTTCAAGAGGATCTGACTCGACTTCAAAGTTGGGCAGACGATAACGGACTTACCTTTAACACTTCAAAGTGTGAAATAGTCCATCTGCGACATGTTGCAGATTACAGTTAAAACTTAGGAAACTCCTCTCTAGTAGTATCCCGAGTCGAAGAAGTCTTAGGAGTTCTGGTGCCCTACGACTTAAAGCCTTACGCCAACTGTGACAGAAATGCCTTTCGAGCAAACCTGGCACTGGTAACAATGAAGCGCATTTTTGATCATTTTGACGGGAGAACTTTCCACATAATCTTCAGTAGTTTCATTCGTCTCCATTTAGAGTACGGAAACATAGTATTCCCTCCTACACTCCAAAAGTATAAGGACACTCTGGAGCGTATCCAACGGCGAGCCATGAAATCAGTTCGGGGACTCAAATTTAAACCTTACGATGAGCGCCTCCAATCACTCGACCTTTACCCATTAGAGTATAGGCGTCTTAGAGGTGACCTTCTAATGGCTTACAGTATCCTTAACACTCCTGGACATCCTCTTAAACACCTACTTAAGCTTAGTCCCAACACTAACCTAAGGAGTAACACCCAGAAATTAGAGATACAACATAGTAGAACGGACTGCAGACACAACTTCTACTCCTTAAGAGTTGTCAAATGCTGGAATTCGCTGCCAGCTGAGCTAGTCCAAGCAACTTCCCAGGAGTCCTTTAAGAGGCGACTTGACCTATTCTTAAGGACTAAGGATAGTATCTTACTTGGATGTTGTTTATTTTATAGAGTCCATATGCCAACTAATCTCAACGAAAATGAGAGGACGAAAAGTGAATATCCGGCGTTTTAACGGGATCTCAAACCAATGGTGCACATGGGCCCCAGTATCCTGAAGGAACAAATGGCATATGAACCTATCATTGGTCACCAGCTCCCATGGGATTGTGTCTCTCTACGATGCTCCACTGCCTTGTGGATTAGATCATCAGGTCGAAGGCTCCGAATGTGGCCCCCTAAGAAAACCACCTGCTTCGGTTTGTGCGTACGGGCAGTATCACAGCCCTCACACAAATCAAATGAGATTTGTGTTGCGCATATGTATTTGGTGTCTCCTTTTACCAATATCTATCTGTTAAAATAAATAAATAAAATAACTTAATAGCAGTATCGCTGCTCGCATTAATCATAGTTCATCATGCAACCCGGATCTGATTATTCGGTGATGCTACATCTAGCAGAACACAACATTATCAAAAGCACTCATATCAGCTACATCTTTTCCATCATTCCTGTACTTATAGTGGTAGAATTACGGTGGCGAGACTAATTTATGGAGTCTCGCCATTACGATATACTAACGCTACCGAGTCAATCAACCAGGATTAAAATAAAGCTCCATGTATTTCACGTAAATTTCAGTAACAGAAAACTTATACGTTATCATCAGCTAAGTAAAATTATTATGAACTGATCCTTAAAATGCTTGGAATGCGAAAAGTAGATTTAAGAACGTAAATTACAGTATAATATAGTATGAAGCACTAATATTATCACGATAAAGGTATATTACTTATTTATGTCTTCTCGATGTTTACTTCCTTTCCTTTTCTGGTTGCACTCCCTAGCTTCGTTATTCATGGTTCTCAATGAGCGTACGTCACATATTGTTGTTGATACAGCACCTTTTGTAAAACGTACACGTCTTGAGGTAAGTGAACTTCGTAAAATGTTCCATCATGTGTGTATCTAGACTTTCGGTGCAATTATTTACACCATACCACAAGTTTTAGCTGAAATAAAAGATGTTCAAACACGTGAATATATGAATTGTTTGCCATATGCCCTGAATTGTCAAGTACCAGAAACTGATTCTATTAACATAAGTAAGTATCAGGAAACTCTGGTGGCTTATTTATTATCATAGTTAAAGGTATTGCAAAACAAACTGGGGATCTGTCAGTTCTTTCTGCAACAGATATTAACGTGATCGCTTTAACTTATGAACTGCATAAAAGATATATAGGTGAACCAGAAATTAAGGATGTGGTAAGTGATTGTTATATCACTATACATATACCCATACCGTCAGAAGCCTTTACCCAGTAACCTTGGGTCTTTAGCTCGTTGTCAATTGCCGAAATTGGACACAAAAAGCAATCCATCCGTTGATGTATGTGATGAGACAAAATCATCTGGATCTGAAAACAATGATACTGAAACATCTGAACCGGATGATGATGATTGGATAACAGAAGATAACTTTGATGAGAAGTCCATGACTAATTTCGGGCTTGGAGGAAAAATTGCGTATGCTAACCTTTTTAATGGTGTTTGGTTGTTTTTAACTAATCGACTATTGTATTTATTCATTTATTTGCTCAATTCGTAAACGGTTTTAAATTAATGTATTTCAGTTAGCCTATGTAATTTTGCATGCTACTCCTTCAGATACAGTTGCGTAAGGTTCAGGGTAATGCCTAGCAGAATAAAATTTGAATCTGATACGCAGTGGCCAAATGTCACATTTTTAAATGGCTGACTTATGGGTCTAATATTTTTATGATGTAGATATAACAATGCCTCAACAGCATCGTACGTAACACTATTTACGCCTAACTTTTAATATGACAGTCGACACAGGATAGATTAAATGTATGGCGTCGCCACATCTAGTGAATTCCCCTGAACACTAATTTTTTATGCATTGGTCACCGATCTTGTGAGGATTTCCATTAATTTATATATTTTCTTGTGCAAGTGTTGCTAATATTCTGCAAAGTAATTCAACTAATAGGTCGAAGGTTTTTTACGCTCTCCCGTTTGCTTTAGCTTACGCATGCAAGTAAAATTATTACATTTTAAGCTCTAGAAGTGATACATACCTTTTAAAACGGGGATTCATCCTTCTCGAATCATATCTAAGCGTAATGCTCTTCATTACCATTGATACTGTTACTACTTCTATTACCCTGGTATTTGTCTGATTGTGCTGTGTTGTGGCAAGTTGAATCAATAAACATGAGTGATAAACTGTACGGTGCTTATAACTGATTGTCTGACATAAACAGTACATCTGTAAGCGGAAAGTAGTGCTTGATAAACAACGTACAGTAGATAAAATAATTATTCATTCTATTTATTTTAATTTTTTTGGACTTATTTCTTGATACAAATGTATTTTGTTTTAGAGATATACTGGAACCAATCAATGAAGTTGAAACAAACGTTGTAGCTTGCTTGACAACTGATTTCGCTATGCAAAATGTTCTTCTCCACGCAGGTCTCGACATAGTAAGCATAAATGGTTTGCGTATTCGTCAACCAAGAACGCATTTACTTTGGTGTTGTGCTTGCTTTAAGTGAGTCTAGGAAATATATGGTTAACATTTACCTATTGATTAATAATGGTCTAAAGATCAAGTTTATAAGTGTTCTACTAATATGATCACTCGTAAATACCCACTTCATTTCCAAATTACCATGTTCAACTACCACCAGCCTAAATTCCCCATTGCGATTTGCGTGGAAGTAGGTTGTAAAAATGCTTGAGGATAGCCAAACTAAGACAAAGCACTAGTTCATGGTATTATTGACTGTTGGTGGCTAAAAAGCTATCCAGATATCGTTTGCACCATAAAATCATAATCACTTATTATACATCGTTGGGTGACATGGCTAAAAATCAGTCGCCGTAATGCAAAGGTATTCACCATCTAATCTCACTTCACTTTTCAAACCATATTTTCTATGTCTAGTTATTTTCACCATTATTTCTTCGACTACTGTACTAATAAACCTTGTTAATTTACTCACGTGCTGCACTGATGTTGGAATTTGAACTAATGCACATTCGTGACTTATTTATTTGTTCAAATTGTAATTGATTCGAACTCAAGGTGTTCAGTAGAAGTATTTCCATCGCCCCCAAATGTCCTGGTACGGCCGAGAGTGGGGAGTCCGCTCTCCCTCTCCAAATGCTCTCATATAACCACGAGTATATAACCTCTGCCAGGGAAGTCCTACTCACTGCCTTCTCGTGCCGGGGGTGTTGTTTACAAAATTGAGAGGACGAGAAGCGAATGTCCGGCGCTTTAACCGGGTTGGTGGACACGGAAAGTCCACCTAGGGGAGTTGGAAAACCCTGATTCCAAACCAATGGTGCACAGGGGCTCTAGTATCCTGAAGGAACAAATGGCGTATGAACCAATCGTTGGTCACCGGCTCCCATGGGATTGCATCTCCCTACGATGCTCCACTGCCTTGTGGATCAGATCATCAGGTCGAAGGCTCCGGATATGGCCCCCTAAGAAAACCACCTGCTTCGGTTTGGGCACCCGGGCAGTATCACAGACCTCACACAAATCAAGTGAGATCTGTGTGGCGCATATGTATTTGGTGCCCCCTTGTACCAGTATTTATGTGTTCAAATGATATAAAATAAAAAATTTCCATCGCTTACTTATAGTTGACAAGTTTTCCGTGTATCCGTTATGCAATGTAGAACTTGACAAAGCTCTAATATAGTAATAGTGGCTGGTCCTGACCGTTGTTGCTACCTTGACGTAGTGGTCGGGCTTGCCTATCGTGATGAAGCAACTGAGCTATACTGGCTGGAACTACCGTTCCTCAAGGTCCTACCATGCCAGACAGGTCGGTTGAAGAGCGGTAAGACTAAAAGCAACAAAACCTAGGTCTGAAGGCGAAGCCGTACTGCTGACTGTACAGAGGTGTGAAGGCAGTAAGGTGTTTCCTTCAGACAACCAGCATAACAGCGATGCTGCCTTCCCAAAAGGAGGGGTGGGGTTAGAAAAGGTCGATCCTAAAAATGCACACCTCGCCTTATCCCACGGATATCCGTCTCCGACGTTAAGGTTTCGACAAGTACGGAGCTAACACAAAAATTACTCATAAAAAGGTCGTGTGTGACCGACCTCAAGCAGCTGTCCCTTGGGCACTGCGGTCACGCTCTCAGGTCACTAAGACCACCTCTAGTCTAATTTCCTTTTCAGGTACCTCCAACAGAACCCTTCCACGGTGTGGGCAACAGGAAAGTGATAACCGCCCTCATACCTCTAACAGCACTCAAGACCACTGTATTCATAATCAACCTCCCTCTTCAATTCCTATTATTCCTCCTACATCGATTTTCAAATCTAAACTCCCTCTTTCGGCTTCCTCCTCAAGTGTCACTACAGCCAACGATTCTTGTGCGCAAAACACTGTCTCAGGTCTACTGAAACCTCGCTCCAAACTACACTTTAGAGCCTTCAACGTACGCACACTATGCCATATCGGTCAGCAGGCTTCCTTGGCTAAAACCTTAAAATCTCGTACCATTGATGTATGCTGTGTCTCCGAAACACGCATACAGGATCCTAGCATGGTCATTCACTTGACCTCACCTCGGCAAAACGGAGAGCGGACGAGATACCCTCCGTGTATCTGGAGACCCGATGGCTAGTTCTCGTGCATTGGCATGTGTAGGCATAGAACTAGCGCTATTAGAGTGGATCCCCGTTAACAGTCGTCTATGCGCTGTTCGGCTAAATGGCTCCGTAAGAACTCGAAAGGATAGGGACACACGTCGTTGCCTTTTCGTCGTTTCTGCCTACGCTCCCACTGACTGCAGTTCGGATGAAGTGAAAGATGAATTTTACAGAAAGCTATACGTTCATACATAGTACTCGTATGAGGCGACTTTAATGCCCAGGTAGGTAGCTTAAACGAAACAGAAAGACATTTAGGTGGGTATTTTAGTATTCCGGCACAGAGAACAGATAATGGTGATCGTCTGCTGCAACTTTGCTGAGACAATCGTTTATTTTTAGCAAACACAAATTTTAAGCATAAGGAGAGACATCGTCTAACATGGCGACCCTCTGCACCAAACCAATGATGGACTCAAATAGACCATATTGCCATCAGTCATCGTTGGAGAGGGTCGGTAGAAGATTGTCGCTCATTCTGGAGTACCTGCTTGGACTCCGACCATGCTCTAACACGAGCACGCATCTTCTTGCGCCTCACTGGACGCAAAAAAGCCACACACAAAAGACTCATTAGAACCGAATTGAGTAATGAGAAAACCAAAAGTAGGTTCCAGAAACAACTGAGGTCACACTTAGGTAAATCTGAAAACGAGACTGACCCAGATGTTGCTTGGAAAGATATACAATCAGCTATGGAAACAGCAGTGGCATCTACTAGTGATTTAAACCACTGGGTTACAAAGAACCAATGGATTTCTTCAAGGTCTGTTGCACTGATAGATTCTCGCAAACTCATCCCATCAGGTTCTGAACACGATGAAGAGCGAAAACAAATCAGATTTAGGTTAAGCAAAAGTCTAAGGAAAGACCGTGAGCAGTGGTGGGCAACGCAAGCAAAAGAGATGGAAAAGGCGGCGGCTATAGGTAACACAAGACAATTCTACAGACTAATAAAAGAAACTGGAATTAATAAGTCAAGTGTAAGTCAGACTATTTCGGAAAAAGACGACACTCTCATCTGCTCCCAGTCCAGACGTTTAGAACGATGAGTGGAACACTTTAAGGAGCAGTTTAGCTGGCCTTCAGCTACTCTAAAACTACCCTCTATTCCCAGACAGTATGAATGGAACATTGAAGTAGGTCCCCCAACTCTAGCTGAAGTTCAAAAGGCTATAGCTAATCTGAAACGAGGAAGGCCAGCTGGTCCAGATGGATTGGCCCCAGAGGTCTTTAAGGATGGTGGTCTAGTTTTAGCGATTAGGTTGACTAATATTTTAGCTAAAATCTGGGAGTTAGACGTTATCCCATCTAACTGGTCACAATCACTTATCGTCCCAATATTTAAGAAAGGGTCAAAATTATCCTGTGACAACCACAGAGGGATTAGTTTGACTAATATAGTATCTAAAATACTAGCCTCGATAATTATCGGACGTCTAACTAAGACTCGTGAACTGCAAACACGTGAAAATCAGGCTGGCTTCAGACATGGTCGTGGCTGCATCGACCACACATTCACCATTCGTCAGGTTCTAGAACACAGGCATACTTATCGGCGTCCGATAATGATGGTCTTCCTTGACTTAAAAGCAGCGTTTGACTCTGTTGACCGAGAAGTTCTGTGGCAGTGTCTGTCATTGAAAGGCGTACGTCAGAAGTACATAAACCTTGTGAAGGCTCTTTACTCGAACACTACTAGTCGAGTCAGAGCTTATGGCGAACTGTCTTCTGCTTTTGCAACCTCAAGTGGTGTCCGTCAAGGCTGGCCACTTTCTCCATTTTTGTTTAACTTAATCATAGATCTACTGAATTAACTACTTCTATGAATCCGGTGTTCAATTTGCGGTATGGCAACTTGGACCGATGCATATACGTGCCTGGTCCTACGTTGCAGCTGAGTGACTGACTGAATAGTGGCTGTTGACTTTAATGCTCAAGTGGGTAAATTAAGCGAAAAAGAAAGACCTGGAGGATCTTATGGTGTCGATAGCAACCGATGGTTAGAGACCTTGAATGACATGGTTCAAAGTCGTTTGCAATGGTGCAGGTGCATCCACTCTTTGTGTTCTCCCAAATTCTAATCTTCTGAATTCTTCATGTCACCTTTTCTTGTTGATGATTGACTGGTGCCTTATGTCTGACTCAATGATCTCAAAATACGAGATCAATGGTCTGAAGACATCCATAGTCGAATATTAGTACCTTACGAATATCATTTATTCTTAACGAACATACCTTACGTCTATAAAGCAGAACAAGACACACTGCTGCACAGTAAACTTGCCCTTTGGTTACCAGACATATGCTCGCCTACCCCACGGGTAACGCAAGTTGGTAAAAGCCAACCGAATTTTTTGAATTCGTGTCAAGATTTCATTAAACATCAAGGATAGTGTTTTATTTGTAGGATTAGAACTATTTTACTGAGCAAGTAGTTGATTCGTCCTAGTGAAAATCAGCTCAGATCTTACTAACATACTCAAATTAAACCTGTGAGACACTAGTGACAGTCTTAATAGAATTTAGGAACTGAGAACATTTAAAGAGAAGGATCAAAAGCTTTAGTTGATTGCATATTGTCCGGTAATGAATTTATCACATAACGCTTCACTGTCCATATTGATGGATTTTAATATAATCGAGTTCAATTTCTCTCCATTTTACTACAGGCCAACTAAGCGTACGGACACCTACTTTTGCCCATGGTGTGGCCATGCTAGTCTACGTCGAATCCCAGTTACTTTACACGAAGATGGCCAGTTAGAATTTCACTTCGCGAAAAGATTTGTGCGTAGACGGCGCGGTTTAAAAGTAAGTAGTATATACTAAATGATGTCACTTTGTTTTGCTCGTAGCAACCAGTGAGAATCCCAAAGGGTGGAAAGTATGCTGACGAACCAATTTATTGTGCAGACCAACGTATTCCTGACCGAAGGCCAGCCCGTCCGAAAAATCCAAAAGTGGTTCCAATAGCTACTAACGGCCTATTAGGATTTGAAGATGAAGAACTATCCAGTGTTTTGGAATTCCAATGTGATTTAAGCAATGCATCATCAGTGGTGTTCCCATTAAATGACGTTACTAGTCGATCTGCACTCTGTGGTATCCGATCTGATCATCAAATACCAAGCAGAAGCTATTTACAAGGTGTACATGCTGAGCACGGCCTTAAACCAACAAGAGGCAAGGCTCATTTAGTTAGACCAAGAACAGGAAATAAGAAGAAACATAAATCTTAAGTGTGATTTTCTTCATTGTATATTTCTAGAATATACATTATTTTATCAAAATATATATTTCTTTTCCTTGGTTTTTTAATAATCACATATCTTTGCTAGTGTGTATAATGTAGTTGTACAAGGAACTAACCTTCGAATGGCAACTAAACCCAAGTCTACCAGCCAAAAAGTGCGATGTGTTGGAACCAGATTTAAAAATCAACCACATCACTTACAAATCATTTATCAGATAAATCTTAATGCGTTTTAACTACTCTCACACCTTACTGTTTTCGGAAACAGAACATGCCCTTTGTCGACTAAGCAGTAGATTTATGTAGTTTTATTAGCCCATAGTTTTGTATCAACAAACCTCTTTATTAATGCTTCCATAGTAACACAACAGGACATATATCTACATAACCTGTTGGTTGTTTACACTCCTACTTTGTTGTTGGATAAGGAGATTCTTAAAAATATCGTGTTGACACACGCTTTAATTATCAGAAGTCAAGCGAATTCATACGACGATAGGAGAGAATCTTACCTAAAAACACATAAATAACAACAAGTGGTTGTTCCTCCAATTACCTTAAATCTCACTAAACCGCATAGATATCAGAACACATCACCTAACATGTAAATGCAAGAATTTACTATTTAACAGAAGTACAATCGCATTTTTAACTAATCGAAAGTCCAATGGAAAAATGATTGAGAAGTTTGTGTTGATTAATTAAGTGGTATAATGAATGATTGTTGGATAAGGTTATTCAGACCATATAACCCTATGATTTAATGAACACCACACAAAAATCCTTAGTTTAATGACCAAAAACCTAAGATGTTACTTTTTAATCTAGTGTTATCAGACTTTAAATTAAACACCTTATAATAAAAATCGTCATACGGTTACTAAACTGATGTCGACATGTGATTCCTGGGGTTGTAGTGACAAGCCGTGATTGATAGGGTTCAACTTCGTTGCACTCGATTTCCTGTGAAAGCGCATTACCAGAACGAAACAGTAGTTCATTGATTATATGAGCACAACCAATTCTTTGTCATGTGAAACTTCGAGATCAATTTCCACGACACCCTCTCTAATGATAATTTAGTCATCTCCCATCACAAAAGGTGATCCTCTTCTAGTTAAATTTAACAAAATCAACCAAATAACTTGTGACTATTGCTAGGTTAGTCCGAGTAACCTTCAGAATTATCTGTTAACCTCAAAATTTTAAGCTGATTTTGGCCGTAAAGAATTGGTTGCTAAAGTTACCAAGGTGGATAGTTATCGTGTCATTACGAAAGTAATGATTGACATCTCGGGCCAATCAGAAGTCGGCTAAGTGTAAAGTGCACATGATTAACCAAAAAATAGTTTTCATTCCCATAGGATGGGACACAAATGATGGCTTAACTTCCCAATGGAGATAAATATGATTCTCAAAGTCGTGCATGGAGAACAGCTGACAGACGCATTCCAAGTAAGCGCCGAAGTCAGACAAGACCGTCTACTCTCCTCGTTTCTGTTCTGGTGGTTGACTGGGTATGAAGACCTGGATATCTCAAGGGAATCACGAAATGCAATCGACAGGTTGGATGCAACTATATGATTTGGACTTCGCAGATGACTTAGCCGTTCTATCCCATACACCAACAAATGCATATGTAGCAGCAGCCTCTGTATCAATAGGCATCAACATACACAAGGGAAAAGCAACAACTTCAAATACAACACGGAGAACAACAACCCAATCACACTTGGTGGAGAAACTCTGGGAGAGGTGGAAACATTCACGTACCTGGTCAGCAACATCATCGATGAACAAGAAGGACTCAATGAAGACGTAAAGGCAAGGATTGACAAAGCAAGGACAGTACTTCTACAATTGAAGAATATATGGGACTCAGAAATACTCACCTAATATCAAAGTCAGAATCTTCAATACGAACGTCAATACAGTTTTATTGTATGGAGCTGAAACTTGAACTACCACAACCATCATAAAAATGCACAAGTATTTCTAAGAAACTATCTGCATAATATACTGAATGTGCGTTGACCGGATACCATCAGCAACAGCCTACTGAGGGCAAGAAAAAACCAGGTTCCAACTGAGGAAATAACACTGGAAGTGGATAGAACATACATAATGGAAATCACGAAGCAAACGTTAACTTGGAATCCTGAAGGGAAACGAAAAATAGGAATGCCAAAGAACACGCTGCGTCGAGAATTGAAAGCAGACATGAAAAGGATGAACAGTAACTAGAGAGGATTTTCCAGGACAGAGATAGATAAGGAATGCTGATGGGCGACCTATGCTCCTTCACGACAGGTAACAGGCGTAAGCAATATATCATTCGGTTTGGTCAGTAAGCTTCCTTTCTCATTCACTTTCCACTCGAGTGGCCAGTTGAGCTCATATCAAGGCAAATTATGTATCAGTTCCAACACTCTCGCATATCACATGTCACAACATTATTAGCATCAATTAACCTTGGAGACGAACAGACATGAGATTAAAGCATCTCGAATACCTGATTTCTGAGAATATCTCTTACTCGTGTTTTTATTCCTTTGAGGACCATATGCCAAAAGATACAGTTTTTAGCCTCTTCTCCTGAAGGCAAGATGAACAATTCTAATCATTCTAGCAGTTATCATTTAATTGCTGCGATTTAAATACAACCAACACATCAGTTCTAACATCACACTGAAATCAAAGTGCAATTATTTCAACTGTTAATAGGTGTTTCGAATAAAATATCCAACTTCAATCAGAAAATGTTTAAAAAAATTCAACATCCTTGTACAATTTGTAGAAATGAAATGAAAGTTACGATAAACCAAACCCACTTCTTGACAAAATAAACATGAGTTAGGCGATAAATTCTTTTACGATACAAGAACTGTACATAGTGTTTTCCAAGTAAATTATATCGCTGTGCCTCTTTCAAGATTTTGTTTAATTTCAGCTGTATATTTCCCATAATGTCGGTCAAGTAACTCATTATATCGTTTGTTACGCTCATTAATATAGTCAATATCAGCATCGGCATCGAATGGACGTCTCCGACTGTAAGCTTTACGCTTGATACCTTGTTCAATTATTTGTTTAGCTAGACGCTCAACAGCTTCAGGTGTGTCTTTGCGATCTGTTAATCCTATTGTATCAGCAGTTGGAAAGGCTAAATCTCCTCTGAAGAAGAAAAACAAACGTTTGTGCTAGAATTGATAAACATAACAATACTAATCTAATCAATCATTATGTTCCTCTTTTTGTGAAAGTAAATCATAGCAACGTTGAATTAAAGACGTACGTGTTTAGCTTCAAGTTGTCACCAACTCGACATAGCAAGATAAAATTGTCAAGACAAATACTAGTGTAATAAAATTAACCACACGTATAAGTAGTTGTAGGACAAAACAGCAATGAAATGCTTTGTAACTTATGATTTAGGGAGTACCTGCATTATTGAGACTGATTCTGAACCATGCCACCAAAATTTTTCAAACACTAGTCACAATAGTTACGCAGACCCCGAACAGGCAGTCTGTATCTACTTACACAGTTCAGTACAATAGTCAACGACTTCACGGACTGATGCCACGTTTTGGTTTGATCACCTCTAGCCTTCTTGGTATATCAGTAAATATTACACATCGAGTTAGGCAGTGGTTGGACATACATAATACATGTACCTACCACCTTAGTTGAAGATTGACTGGCTTGTCAGTCAATTTGTCATTTTTATCTAATACCCTGTCTTAACCTCAGCACTACCGACTCTTATCCCAAGATACGCTTCGAAATGGCACAATGAAACATCTGTATAACCTAGACAACAGTAAGTACTTTATAAGCAGTTTATTGTACAGGACTTAATCAACCATGATAAATATTCAGATGAGACCAGGTTTGATTGTTTTCCTTAAGGTTCTTTGATGCTGATGGCAATTATCATGACGTCGTGATTAACACAAGGACTAATTCGTAAAAATTTCACATAGGTGTAAGGGTGAGAAATTTTACTCCAGTAGATGATAAAAGTTAATAATCAGCATATGAAGTTAACTGTGAAATATCAGGAAGAAGCAAATATATAACTCAGCAATTTATCATACAGTTAGTTGGTGCAGTTAAATCTACTGACATTTTAAATTTTATACACCCAGTTATTGATTATTTGCAGTTATTATTAGGAGCCCAACCAGGTAGGTTATATCTATCAATGAGCTTCATGAACTGATGGCTCAATAAAAATCAATTTGCAACATAAAAATTCCGAACACAAGTGTAACTTACAATTTTTCTTTCTCCTTTTGATAAGCAATTAAATCTGGTTTAATCTGTTTAGTCATTTTAAGATATTTACGATGTGATGCATCAGCGTATGTTGAAAATCCTTCATCTGTATTACATTTTTTTCTTCGTCTTACTTCAAGACGATCGGCTATCTCAGCACTAACATTTAATGCACGCATTCGATCTGGATCAATTTTTTGTTGACTACATTCCAATCTAAATAGTTCATCTTCTTCCTCCCATTGTAATCGTTTTTGTCTTACTTCCCAGTTTGATGGAAGTTTTGATCGCTTGTCTTCTTCAACAACTTGAGTATGATTAGATTTTCGAGCCTCATTCTAAACGAAAAAGATAAGAAACTTTCACATTTGTTTTATCATAATAAACAATCATCGTAACCAATATTACACGTTAGTTCAGAAGTATAATAATTTGCAAACCCAATGTCAGAATTATTTGCAAAACGTTATTTATTTTTCAGGAGCGATAGTAATTGAAATATGTTGTGATGAAGCGAACACTGGGAGTGTTGTAACCTTCGGAATTGTTTTACAGACTATTATCGTTTACATGTTTATTATACAAGTATTAGGTAGTTGGATTAGGTCCTCAGTTTGAATTTCGCGAGGCGGGATCGTGGATGCGCACTGTTGAGGAGTCCAACAATAAGACGAAACTGCCGTCCAATGCTTTCAGGTTTTCCATAGTGATCTAGCTTCAATGAACTCATGGTCTCAACTATAAGCCCCCAAATGCCCTGGTACGGCCGAGAGTGAGGAGAGTCCGCTCTCCCTCTCCAAATGCTCTCATATAACCACGAGTATATAACCTCTGCCAGGGAAGTCCTACTCACTGCCTTCTCGTGCCGGGGGTGTTGTTTACAAAATTGAGAGGACGAGAAGCGAATGTCCGGCGCTTTAACCGGGTTGGTGGACACGGAAAGTCCACCTAGGGGAGTTGGAAAACCCTGATTCCAAACCAATGGTGCACAGGGGCCCCAGTATCCTGAAGGAACAAATGGCGTATGAACCAATCGTTGGTCACCGGCTCCCATGGGATTGCATCTCCCTACGATGCTCCACTGCCTTGTGGATCAGATCATCAGGTCGAAGGCTCCGAATGTGGCCCCCTAAGAAAACCACCTGCTTCGGTTTGGGCACCCGGGCAGTATCACAGCCCTCACACAAATCAAGTGAGATCTGTGTGGCGCATATGTATTTGGTGCCCCCTTGTACCAATGTTTATGTGTTGCAATGAGTAAATAAACTTATCTTTAAAACGTAGGTTATTATTACGGTTGTTTAAAACATATATCTTTATATAAACGAATAGAGATCTCGAACGTACCACTCTTAAGTGAAGTTCCCTGAGTTTTTCCATATACTTTGACGATCTATGGGCCCCGGTTGTGGACATCTTCAGTCTACATAAACGAATAAACAAAATTAAAAACAATCATCACTATCGAGTTTTGACTTGATTATTCCAAATAAATGGATGATTAAGTGTTTCATAAATAATATAAGAGCTACCTTGACTAAAATAACACATTTACATCATTGGATGTATTTCGACCATATTAAATGTCCTGCTTTTTTCTTCCATACTATGTACACTTGATTTAGTTGAGAAATTTATGTATTTCCTAGAGAGGAAACTTATACTATGCTGTTGGACATCAAAAATCCAGTTTTATAGCCATCAGGATATCAAAACATACTGTTATTACCATAAAACTAACAGACATGCGCCATGACATGCTTTATTAGAACAACAAAATTTGTGGTGTGTTCTATTTTTAAAACTCAGTTAAACCAGATTGATGTGAAAACAAAGTACATAAGACTAGTCGAAACAACTAACAAAATTATCCGTTTTATTAAAATGTCTATTTATACACTTAAATGATGAAACGAAGTATCCCGCTGATCAATCTAACCCACCGCTCTAGAGAAGTGGAAGATTTAAACGTACGCGCAAGATGACATGATAAGTTACCTTTCGTAGAAGACCGGCCACTGAAGTCAAATCCTGACTGCTGATGACGAAAAAACACTGGAGGCGATGAACAACACCCGTTACCGCTGAGAACTGCGAATCATGTGGTGCAGAAAGAAAAATGAAGACAGAAATCTTTACATTACATACATGTTTTACTAAGACTGAATATTACTTGCCATTCAGTAAAAGCTTTTTATTTAGGGAGCTTCATTAAGCACAGCATACAATCAGAGATCAATAATATGGTACGGTCAAAACACTAGGGATTTTTCTACTTACTTAAACAGAGGAAGTAGGTTAGTTTAGACGAGGGCTTTTCCCGGTGTTCGCTTTACGAATTGCTCGAAATTTGCCATATGGGAATAAATGAAACGGTGGAGATTTATTGTGAATAATGGCTTTATAACAGAATGTTCCAAGTTACTATTTCAAGGACTTTTACGACGCAGATAAATCAAGCCCATGAATTTTACGATTAGAACCACGGAAACCAACAAGATATGTGTAGGCTTAAACATTGGAAGACCTTATAAATGGCAGAAATACATCCGAGGGATTCACTTAAACTCCAAGTAAAATGGAGACGAATGTATGTACAATGCTTTGAGTGGACGGATGTCTGCCTGATATCCTAACTCAAGGTAATCTGCTTGAAGAAGCTAGTTATATATAAAATAGACGAGGTTATCTGTATGGAAATATGAAGATTTAAAGGTGTTAATGTAACCTTACCAACAGTATTTACAGTTGTTAATTAACTACTGGCACTTTTAAAAACCTTAAACAGCCGCTCAGTCCAACTCTAATCAACTATAAACTGTACCACCAATAAAGATTTAATGCAGGTCCAAATTGTTAGAACACAGCCTGTTCTACATAATAGGCCTACTATTCCGGAATAAATTTTCTCTACAGACTCAATGTTGTTTTGGTTTATACATAATGAAAAAATAGTCTCAACCCTCATTGAGATAAACAAAAAAAGTTATATTATATGTACACGATGTAAAATGAATGACTTCAAGAAGGATTCTGTAAACAAATAAGTATGTCCTAGTAAATGAGTAAAAGTAACGCACATTACAAAAAACGCTGAGACGTTCAAATGGTTCAAATGGTTGCGGACGGAATAGAAGAAGCTTTCGCTTAACAGGCTTCCGTGTCTAGTAGCAGTGGATCACCAATACCGCCAGGCAAGAACCTAGGTATATTAACGATAAAAGAGAAAGAAAATGAATTGGTAAATCATAGTAGGATACTATCCATAGTCCTTAAGAATAGATCAAGTCGCCTCTTAAAGGACTCCTTGGAAGTTGCTTGGACTAGCTCAGCTGGCAGCGAGTTCCAGCATTTGACAACTCTTAAGGAGTAGAAATTGTGTCTGCAGTCCGTTCTACTATGTTGTATCTCTAATTTCTGGGTGTTACTCCTTAGGTTAGTGTTGGGACTAAGCTTAAGTAGGTGTTTAAGAGGGTGTCCAGGTGTGTTAAGGATACTGTAAGCCATTAGAAGGTCACCTCTAAGACGCCTATACTCTAATGGGTAAAGGTCGAGTGATTGGAGGCGCTCATCGTAAGGTTTAAATTTGAGTCCCCGAACTGATTTCATGGCTCGCCGTTGGATACGCTCCAGAGTGTCCTTATACTTTTGGAGTGTAGGAGGGAATACTATGTTTCCGTACTCTAAATGGAGACGAATGAAACTATTGAAGATTATGCGAAAAGTTCTCCCGTCAAACTGACCAAAAATGCGCTTCAATGTTACCAGTGCAAGGTTTGCTCGAAAGGCATTTTTGTCACAGTTGGCGTAAGACTTTAAGTCGTAGGGCACCAGAACTCCTAAGACTTCTTCGACTCGGGATACTACTAGAGAGGAGTTTCCTAAGTTTTAACTGTAATCTGCGACGTGTCGCAGATGGACTATTTCACACTTTGAAGTGTTAAAGGTAAGTCCGTTATCGTCTGCCCAACTTTGAAGTCGAGTCAGATCCTCCTGAAGTGCCTGTATGTCCTCTTGGTTGCGTATCTCTCTCCAAAGTTTCACGTCATCGGCAAAGAGCAGTATGTCTGACGTTACCTGTTGAGGAAGATCATTAATATAAATCAGGAAGAGGAGAGGTCCTAGTACTGAGCCCTGGGGGACCCCACTAGAACATTCCATAGCGCGTGAGAAATTGAAGTTTACCCTGACCATAAAATGTCGATTTGTGAGATATGAACTGAGCCAGTCAATTAAAGGTGGTTTGATACCCAATTGTTTGAGCTTGTTAATAAGACATGTGTGATGAACCCTATCGAAAGCTTTAGAGAAATCAAGGTAAATGATGTCTACCTTCCCCTTGCGATCAACGATGCTTGTCCATCTGTCCACCGCGGTCAGCAGGTTCGTCATACAGGAATAACCCTTCCTGAAACCATGCTGTTGGGGTGAGAAGAAATTTAAGGACAGCAGATAGTCATGTATATCATCGTATACCAGGGACTCCATGATCTTTGAAGGTATAGAGAGAAGGGCCACCGGTCGGTAACTTGAAGGTTCACTGCGTCGACCTCCTTTGAAGATTGGTGTGATATGAGCCAGCTTTCAAATATCCGGTAGTTTGCCCCGACTTAGCGAGTGTGAAAACATCACGCTAAGCGGTGTTGCCAGGATTGAAGCTGCTTCCCTCAGTATAGCAGAGTGGACCATATCTGGACCAGGAGAAGTGTCTGTTCTTAGGTGTTGTAGTTTACGGAACACCAAGTCAGCGCTCAGTTTCACTACGGAAAGTCCTGTGCAGTTGCAGATAGAGCCATCAGTATAGTTGATGTGGGTCGGTGGAAATGTCCGGGAGTATTGCTCAGCCAGAAGTTTAGCGGCGTCAGCGTCATTATCTGTTGGGTCGTTAGGACCTAGCAGTTGAGAAACTCCAGTTTTGGCTTGACGAAGAGATGCTGCGTAACGGAATAAGCTTTTCGGATTGGAAGTAAATTTATCCATAAGCTTTAACTGGTACTGAAGCCTGTCTTCACTTATGGCCTTTGTACATATGTTCCTTATATGTTTGTATTGCCTGTACTCGCCGTTGTTGTCGGTTCGTTTGTATTCTGCCCAACAGTGCTTTTTACGACTTGGCAAACGAAGAGTGCGGTTTTTGATGATTGTAGGTTGCATGTGGCTTTTGGGGGTCGTTTGAGGGACTGACTGCTTAGTAGCACATAAGAGCGTGTGTAATAAGAAGTTACAATGAGCATCCACATCAAGTTGAGGGTGAACAACTCAATGCACGTGTTGTAGATAGTCTTGTAGAGCTGACACATTCAACCGTTTGGAATTCCAGCGCCTGTTGTTTTCGAGATATTCTAGCTCAGTTTTGCTGACAAAAATGAAATATATAAAGGCGTGATCGCTTTTCCCCAGGGGAGCCAGAATTGAGAGGTTGTCGACTAAAAATTCTTCCTTTGTAAAAACACAGTCTAAGAGCGATGGTGTCTGACTGTTCCTCAAACGAGTAGCCAACCTCAAATTTTCGTGTAATCCCAAATCCTCAATGAGGTTGAAGAACCGAGCTTCAATTGAATTTTCACCTCCAGTATACGTATGTTCCGCGAAGTTGACTCTAGGTACATTGAAGTCCCCTAGAATCAGGATATGAGTGAAATCGAGACGTGTGGAGCGGGATAGTCCTTCCAGCATGCGACTGTCATACTCGATGTCGGCAGTGGGCTTCCTATGTATGACTCCGACTGGGCACCTCGAAGTAGTGGACAATCTCACAGAGCACCATATAGATTCCTCAAGATTGTCAAACTCGTGGTTGTGGATTTGATGTACCACCAGGCCAGATCTTATGTATAGGGCTACTCCACCCCCAATTCCTGTTTTTCTGTCATTGCGAAACAGAGACATCCCAGGTATTGCTAGCTCCTGGTCCGAATACTGAGGAGATATCCAAGTTTCAGATATTCCTATCAGATGAACTTTATTAGCGTTGCTGAGTTCACTTAGTTCATCCATTTTATTTGGTAGACTCGCGGCGTTCATGTATAAGCAGTTAATGCTTTCAATTTGAAACGCGTGAGCTTCTTCCTGTTTATCTATGAGAGCCTTGCGTGAGTGGACAGGTAACCCACCTATATAAGTTTTGTCTAATTGGTAGGCCCTGTCCTTTACACGTTTTTTTTTGTCTTGAAGACAGTCCACAAGTGGAATGGTCAGTTCCAGCTTGCCTTTGTGCTTGATCCTGGCGTCGTATGGCCTATCCGGGTGCATATGGATCCCAGTTGGCAACCGACGTCTGTTGACACGAAATGCTTCCAGAGTTGCAGCCGCCATATGGGAGGATGGAAAAGTTATCCTCAATAGTCGGGGTCTAGGATCCCCATCCTTCTTGGCTAGTCTCATCACATGCTGAGACAGTATGTTTTTAAGCCTCAAGGACTGTTTGATGAATTTCCATTCCCGACGTTCAAATGGTTCATATTGTTGTGGACGGAATAGAAGAAGCTTTCGCTTAAAAGGCTTCCGTGTCTTGTAGCAGAGGATCACCAACACCTCCAGGCAAGAACCTAGGTATATTAACGATAAAAGAGTAAAAAAACGAATTGGTATATCATAGTTAGATACTGAAACTGAAACTTGAGAATAGATCAAGTCGCCTCTTAAATGACTCCTGGGAAGTTGTTTGGACTAGCTCAGCTGGCAGCGAATTCCAGCATTTGACAACTCTTAAGGAGTAGAAATTGTGTCTGCAGTCCGTTCTACTATGTTGTATCTCTAATTTCTGGGTGTTACTCCTTAGGTTAGTGTTGGGACTAAGCTTAAGTAGGTGTTTAAGAGGGTGTCCAGGTGTGTTAAGGATACTGTAAGCCATTAGAAGGTCACCTCTAAGACGCCTATACTCTAATGGGTAAAGGTCGAGTGATTGGAGGCGCTCATCGTAAGGTTTAAATTTGAGTCCCCGAACTGATTTCATGGCTCGCCGTTGGATACGCTCCAGAGTGTCCTTATACTTTTGGAGTGTAGGAGGGAATACTATGTTTCCGTACTCTAAATGGAGACGAATGAAACTATTGAAGATTATGTGGAAAGTTCTCCCGTCAAAATGATCAAAAATGCGCTTCATTGTTACCAGTGCCAGGTTTGCTCGAAAGGCATTTCTGTCACAGTTGGCGTAAGGCTTTAAGTCGTAGGGCACCAGAACTCCTAAGACTTCTTCGACTCGGGATACTACTAGAGAGGAGTTTCCTAAGTTTTAACTGTAATCTGCAACATGTCGCAGATGGACTATTTCACACTTTGAAGTGTTAAAGGTAAGTCCGTTATCGTCTGCCCAACTTTGAAGTCGAGTCAGATCCTCTTGAAGTGCCTGTATGTCCTCTTGGTTGCGTATCTCCCTCCAAAGTTTCACGTCCTCGGCAAAGAGCAATATGTCTGACGTTATCTGTCGAGGAAGATCATTTATATAAATCAGGAAGAGAAGAGGTCCTAGTACTGAACCCTGGGGGACCCCACTAGGACATTCCATAGCGTGTGAGAAATTGAAGTTTACCCTGACCTTAAAATGTCGATTTGTGAGATATGAACTGAGCCAGTCAATTAAAGGTGGTTTGATACCCAATTGTTTGAGCTTGTTAATAAGACATGTGTGATGAACCCTATCAAAAGCTTTAGAGAAATCAAGGTAAATGATGTCTACCTTCCCCTTGCGATCAACGATGCTTGACCATCGCGGTCAGAAGGTTCGTCATACAGGAGTAACCCTTCCTGAAACCATGCTGTTGGGGTGAGAAGAAATTTAAGGACAGCAGATAGTCGTGTATACCATCGTATACCAGGGACTCCATGATCTTTGAAGGTATAGAGAGAAGGGCCACCGGTCGGTAACTTGAAGGTTCGCTGTGTCGACCTCCTTTGAAGATTGGTGTGATATGAGCCAGCATGTACATACGTACCTACTCCCTGGGATGTCTCTGTTTCGCAATGACAGAAAAACAGGAATTGGGGGTGGAGTAGCCCTTTACATACGATCTTGCTTGGAGGTACACCAAGTTCACAACCATTAGTTTGACAATCTTGAGGAATCTATATGGTGCTCTGTGAGATTGTCCACTACTTCGAGGTGCCCAGTCGGAGTCATACATAGGAAGCCCACTGCCGAAGGTATAGAGAGAATAGCCACCGGTCGGTAACTTGAAGGTTCGCTGTGTCGACCTCCTTTGAAGATTGGTGTGATA